TGGATACTCATGGGATATGCATTAAAACATATATTTTCAGATTGAGTTAAATACATCGCTTCTTATTACCGTTAGAAATACTTTTGAAACTTAATGTTTAGCTGCAGCAGCCAGAGGACGGATATTTTTCTATCTTGAACTACATGTAGCTAGGATTTCTTTGATGTTTCTCAATTGCTTTGAGGGACTTTGTTTCACGTTGTAATCACAAGACCAGTACTTAGCTATCTTTAAAGATGAAGTTGAGTTTTGGTCATGCGATTGCTTTGTGAAAGAAACGTTGTGGAATCGATCAGAAAAGGTTGATCATCTAGCATATAAGTATTGGTGTGTACTGCAAGGTTCTGGAATCATCAAAATGATAAGAAATTTGGCCCAGTCTTCGTAAAGTTACAAGCACTGTACACAGAAAGATGTATATGGGACTATACGCACACGTGCGCGACACATGCATTTATCTCTCACAGACCATGTAGATAAACTAATTTACCAAATATATCAATTAGTAGGCGGTTTCCCGGCAAAATTGTTATCATCATGTTTAAGTCAAAACATATTCTTTCACATGATTGGTAATAAGAGCTTCCATTTCATTTTTTGAAACTTGGCGTTTCCAATACTGGCCTTTACCTTTAAAAGCAGACAACACGCTTATGTTCAGTAATGTCCCATGATAGAATGTGAAGCCTAGCACGACAGGAATGTGTCCAGCTCTCTCCTTGGGAAGGGGGACAGATGTTTATTGGTAGGGGGCAATGACTAGTCCAAGCAAACAAAACATCCATCACAGATCTCAATTCATGGGACTGAGCCCCAATAAACAACTCAGAGGGATGCCATTTGGTGGATGATAGCGAAAACTATCAATTAAAATGGGTCAAACGTTCAGTGATGATATAAATTACCATGAAATCATATTGCACATTGCCTCTGCAGATAAGAAGGTTAATTCACATTAAGCATTTGTCCTTTTTCATGGCTCCAAGTCGTCCTCAGTGTGTTTTACGAGCGGTCGAAGGATATGTTTTGTTTCCCTCTGATTCAAAAGTATGTTATAATCTTTGATACAGATGGCAAAATATGGTTTACAGTTACATTTGTGCCATTAAACCTACATTCATTTCCTTATTTCCCATGTCAAGGGAATACAGATGTACTTAAAAAGAACTAGTCAACTTTAATACCACCAAGTTCAACCAAATTGACTCTATAGCCTACCTAATCAAAAAATAAAAGAAACTGTAATACTTGTAAGGGATCGTGACGATGACATCTAACTCTAAGCAGGTAAAAATTTCAGATAGTGACCTAGAAGTCCTTTGATATCAAACATATCACTTGCTTGTGACTTTCTAGAAATTCTTGAAATAGATGAGAAAGGGCTTGATGAATGCCAGGATTATGCTGCTCATGTCACATGATATACATCTACATCATATCACCTGACACATGTCTTTGTCACCTGACATGTCTACCTCTAGCTTGTCACCTTATACCAGGAATGACATTCTGAATGAAGTTATTCTGAGATGGATATTTTTTCTTGTAGGTGGCAGGAGAAAATCATCTGTTTAGGGCTAGAAGGGCATTTATTTATTTACTTTAACACAGAGTTAATGCCTTTCTAGATATCAACAGATATAGACAAAAAATAAAGGATGGTACTAAACCATAGATGCACCTGCATGCTTGCTTTAGGCAACTGAAATATACCCTGATGAACAATAGTACTAAAATTAGATCAGTCTATTCCGATAAAATGAAGCATTTTCACAGGTCCTGATTTCTTGTACAAATTTGCTCAAGTGAAAATGAGGTTAGGCAAGACTTTCATTCAAACATCATTGGCTATCTGCCTATCTGCCTGTACATGGGCTAAAGGAGCGTTATTAAAAGCATCGTTATTACAGAGGCGGGCTTTGAAATATGAATCTGATAATAAGATATCTCAAATGGATCATGATCGTCTGGGTTTACACAAACCATGCTGCCACCAAATCGTTATTAACTGGGCTTGATGTAAACACAATTAATGCACGGCGCTGGCAGAGATAAGCTGGGAGCCGCGCAAGATCTGTCCTTATGGCTTTTACTGGAAATACCAAAATTGATCCTGTATTCCATCACCTAGATTGCTGGGAGAATGAGAAAACAAACATTGGCCATTCAAATTTTATATGGAATGAAAGATGACATGGATCCCGAATAGATAGAACCTGGTCCGTAGAAAAAGGTTCCAAGTCCATGAAGGCACTGTTTTCAAGAGTTTAGGTAGATATACCACTTTACAAAAAGTTATAGAAATGTTTCACTTTCACTAGTGTTGGATACTGTATACATCATCACTAAGTAATTCAAAGTTGCTAGAGAACATATTGGAAGAACATTCTGTTGATTTCATACCACAAGTGACAGAGGATGTTGAACTTAACTGATGATCTTAGCCTAAAAAACCTTGTGTGACTTTGGGTTTGTATTATGCTCAGGAAATCGCACTGTTAGACCAAATCTATACAAAAGGCCTCTGCCTCTCTTGGAATTGGTACGGAGAAACTGTTTCAGTGTATATCACATTGGCGTAATATCTCCCACTACAACATGAACTACAGTCGTAACTCGTAAGCCCCATTTCACAAATAGCCACAATGTCAATTATGGCCTTTTGTCCATAACGAAAGTCAGGAGATTTGGATTTTGTCCGCAATGCATTTGTTTGAACAAACAAAGCATATACCTATCTTCTCTTTTATAATACAATTTCAGGTCTGACGGTGTGTATTCATCATTTATTAATGTCAACAGGAGGTTTAGAGAGCCGTAATAGGTAAAGATACCTGGATCTTTTAGCTCCTGACGTCGCTTTCCACAGATCAGAGGGCACCGCTGAATACCGCCCCCCATTTCAGCAGTGCAAATACCCATGAACATTGACAAATATGAAACAAAGATCCATCATTTTCATTTGAAAGTATGCCTCAATTGGAATCTGATATTAGAGTATAGCAGTGGAGCTTCTGTTGTGAGCGATGATCCAATTTTCTGCTAGCTCGGCTTGAAGTTCCTGAAGATACAGGAATGAAAGGTCATGTGACATTCATTTGACAGCAGTTAGAATAAGGTTATTTGATAGTCTACAATAGAATGTTTCAATCATTTAATAATATCTAAATAGTTGTTTTCATAAACTAGGTAACCATTGAAATGTCTGCTCAGAAACTTTGAGCCAGAAGGGTGCAATAAAACTCCCTTCCGATTCTTAGCCAGCAAAGTGCTTTCATTTAACATCTAACCTTGCTACTACTAGGTTAACAGAATCCCTCTTCTTATGCAATGATAATGAGTTTCGCTGCAAATCTATTATTCATGCTGTACTCTATGACAGAGTGATGGAAAGAGGGATTATGAGGGATAGTTTGTAAGTACTTCATACATAATTCTAACTTCTTTTTATTTCAATGTTAGAAAAAAATTATTCCGCTTTGATCTCGGATTCGATCACCTTGCATCAATGTTCCGTGGTATCCAGGTATAGATAGATACCTACCTGGATACTGGTGATACAGATGCCCTCATAAAGTATTCATAGGGGTAATCATTGACCTCATCAAAAGAAATTCAGTACTTGGGACCTTTATCGCTCCCTAGCAGTAATTGATGGTGTCGTAGCTCAGTACGAGTTGCCACACAATTATCAGCCTACCGTATTCCGGGCGAAATCAGTTTGAAGGACTTAATTTTCACTTTTTGCATTAAATAGTCCCCTTTCATTTCCTTCTGTTGCTATCTCCCTCTGTCCTTCTCTTTCTTTCTTTTAGAAGGTTGATTATTTCTGATATAATTTTCACCATACCTGTGTAGCAAAGTCATATTACTATCACCTTCTATCTCTTCCCGTTCTTTATCTCTATTTCTCTCTCAGTCCTTTCTTGCAGGTTCTAACTTGTGTCATTTCATTTCTTCGAGATATTATAATTATCAATCACCAAATGGTTTCATATCTTCAGTCTTCTCCAGTGAAATCGACTATATTTACGAGATGTGATTGAGTGCTATCCTAATGAGAGTTGCCGGAACACAAAATACAACATGTAGATGTGATGGATTTAACTCATCAGTATGCAACTAATATTTCATTTGGCCGACACGAAGGAGATTATGGCATTATGCATGAAGCTAGCCTCCGCTCTTACGGCATGCATCATTTCACAATATAAATGGCTGGAAACCATATTTCGATGTGACCCGTTCTCCTGTATTTTGAAAAGGGAAAAGCAATCAAAATCAGAGGGTAATGCCTCCCTAGGTTATTTTGTGTGATTGATTTTTGGCCCTGAATTATGGACTGCAGATTTAGTTGGTCTTTCCTAGTCTCGTTCGCCATTATTCTTTCTTTCTCTCTCTTTTTGTGGGTTTGCAAGCTATATTCTAAATTTTCTTGATATTCACTGAATTAATCATCCTTCCAAAGATAGTTTTCTTGATGTTCATGAACATTGGGGTCATTGAATTCTATTTTTAAAAGTTGATGCAATGTATCATTGAGATGTTTTGGTAAAAGTTGTGGACCTTTAAAAAAATAGAGGTATGTGTGTGTCTCTAGAGTTTTGGATCATTATAATTATAATAGGGATGTATAGAAGAGGGTGAAGGGTGGTAATGATGATGATGATGAGGATGATGGTGATGGTGAGGATGACAGTGATGAAGAGGAAAAATATAACGATTGATGGTGATGATTATGATGATGATGATGACAATAATGATGAGAAAGAGGAGGATGCTCATGACAGTGATTATAACACATATCCTAACGCTGGTCTGGTTTTATGATGATTGTAATCTTAGTGATGAGCCTATCATATTGATTAAAATCTTGATGATGGTTGTGTTGATGATAAGTGTAACAACTACATGTAGTCTACCAACCAAGATAGACCTGAAAATCATTGTTTCACGTTCACAAAAATAATGACGATCTCCCTTATTCTCTCACCTTACAGCACCACCGGTCATCACACTTGGTCTGACAGACGAGGGCGGTATAGATGAAGGTGCAGCAACGTTCTTCTGCAAGGCGACAGGCGACCCCGCCCCAACGTTCGAATGGTACAGGAACAAGAAGAAGGTGCGCGGTCTGCGTTACCAGATCGTCGAAACTGAAGGAGGGTCAGTGCTGAGGATAACGCCCCTTCGGCTTGACCGAGACAATGACCAGTCGGTGGTATGTGAGGCAAGCAACGACGATGGGACAGCCACGACACAGGCCAGGCTTACTGTCACTCAAGGTAAGCATCTGAATGGAGATTATATTCAGGTTTCATGACACGTGTTCTGGTGAAAATTCCTGTATTGAAAGAGTTGTGATTGATCAAGCAGGGCCTACTTATGCTTATGGAGTAAATTAATATGACGCAAGGGAGATTCATATATCCCTTTCCATAACAGACCATACTTGTCTAAAAGAGACTTGTTTCCAGTGAAGCGGGTTCTTTTTCTCATTGAGCATTTTTGTGACAATATTAATATGATAGATAGAGAAAAAGAAAGATGAAAACACAAGTAGGGCCTACTTATGGAGTAAATAAATATGACTCAAGGGAGATTCATATATCCCTTTCCATAACAGACCATACTTGTCTCAAAGAGAATTGTTTCCAGTGAAGCGGGTTCTTTCTCTCTTGAGCAACTTGGTGACAAAATTTATATGATAGGTAGAGAGGAAGAAAGATGAAAAACAAGAAGGGCTTCTTATGGAGTAAATAAATATGACGCAAGGGACATCCGTAAATCCGTTTCCATATTAACGGACCATACTTGTCTGCTACATGATAGTACATCTAGTGATGTGACCTAATGATGAACTATGGTGCCTTAATGAGGTGTTATGGCTAGATCCGACGGCCCCCTTCTAATTAAGTCGAACCTAATTGACATGCAGCCTTTTAGCGTCACTATTAAAGCCACACTATCCTACTTGTAGCTACTTGCTCCCTCTATATAGAAAACTTCCCCAATCGGTGCCTGTTGGTCCCCCATGATCCTCTTTTTCTTATGTTAAATGAGAGCTGAGTTAATAAGATAGCCACCTGTCACAGTGACCTCGCTGGGGCTCGCTGGGGGTCTAATCCCTTCTAGCTGAAGTAGTAAAGCCTGCCTTTAAAGCACGTATATTGGCCACCATGAATATCTATTTCGATACGCCACCTATATTATGGCTTCATTTTGTGAGGGAAAAAAGGTGGATTAAAAATGGTGTCATAAACCTGTTTGCCCAAGGCATACATGATGTGAGTTGGGGCAGATGAATGTAGATGACTCATGAGAGTTAATCCTATTGTACAATTCTTTTATTCATATTTCAAATGATGTGGATATGTGAAAGAATGGCAGCTGCTGAGTTTGTCAATGTGAAATTACATTTTTAGGTACCCATTGAGAGGAAACTTTTTATTCCCACACAAGTCTCCTTCAGCCCTAATTCTATGAAAATAGAGGGCACAGAACCTTTCTTCAATGCACAGATGGTGTTGAGTTTAATGGTGCTCTCATGTTTGGTTAATAATTAATCCTCCTTTTTCTATTTTAGTTCTTTACATTTCACTACCCATTTTCATCGTGATCCCAACCTGATCTCCGCTGTAAGAATATCATGCAATTATTTCGCCCGAGCCCCCGTGTATTATTTTCACTGATGAGTAGTAAGAAAACCAAATTCCACATTTTAGTTTAGGATATCCATGCAATATTGAAACAGAATTGGCTATATGTTCTTGAATACTAGAACCATCCTCCATGTTCCATTCTTCCAAACCAATTTTTTAGTAGAGCCTCGAGAAAGAACAAAATATCAGCATTCATTCAGTCACCCTATTTTGTTCAGGGGCATTGGTAAAGAAGAGGGGAGGGGTGCGTTTGATGGAATGTTCTTGCCTATTTGATATTGTGTACATTGCGTGATATGAAGGTTTGTGGTACGTAGGGCTGCAGGGTCAAAATTGATTTCTCCATTGATGGTGAGCATGAAATTGGGTTATTCAAATGGTGGCCTAGTTTCTTAGGGTCTATATTGTGTACTGAACATGCTCTTCGTGCCGAATAGATTAGCGGCATCCGTACTTCATTCATGGAATATAATTTTTTATGAAGGTATATGTAGGTGTTTGTCATTTGCAATGTTCCATTAGTATTCAGTTTGTGAGAAAGAGAACCAGGAGTATTTTCAAAGGAGAAGTTAGTAATTTCCTTTTCTAATATCTTTTCTCTGTTAATGTGATGAAATATATAAATACAAATATATAAAAAATTGGGGGGGGGGGGAGGGGGTGTATTGAATTTCATGAGAAATAAATTGTTAGTCTTTCAATGGGACAAACTCTATCTCTTCCTTGCCTCCTCCCAATCTCTCCCATTCTCTCTCTCTCTCTCTCTCTCTCTCTCTCTCATTTGCTCTCTCTCTCTCTATTTCTCTCTCTATCTCTCTCTATTTCTCTCTCTATCTCCCTCTATCTCTCTCTCTCTCTCTCTCTCTCTCTCTCTCTCTCTCTCTCTTCGCATTTTCGATATACCGGTAGTTATTATGATCAAACTTGTTTACTACAATGCTTGTTTACCATGGCAGACACAACACCGGTGCCACGACGCCCCCTTTGTTAGCTCACAAGATATTCATAGGTGAATCTGCATGGAAAACACAATTGGTATCTAGTCTGTTTTTCGCAGTACTTATTAGAATTGAGGAACATGATATTCAAAAGAAAAAGAAGGAAAATGGGATGTAATTGAGCAGATAGTTGCACGGTCCATCAACAGAGCAAAGCGAATGGATCCAAGGCGGAAAAACATGTTTTTAATTGGGAGTCACACCGGGTACGTGAACCAAAGAAAGCATACAGGGTGATTGGTACACCTCTCAATGGCGTGTGATATATCCTTCATTCAAAATCCGTCTCATCAATTGAAAGATTTAGAGTTCAGTTCAGTCAGGCAACGTTTCTGAGAAGATTGAAAATCAATGATAGATTTAATTCAAATTATTGAAGATGGGGTTTAGGCTTATATTTGATATCATGATTATGGTGTGGTGACAATCACACCTTGCCATTTGAAATTAAATTAATTTTAAATTATGACTGGATATTCCATTGGCAATTTTTTGTTCTCAAACTTGTACAGTTTTCTTGTTAAGTTGGACAATATTTGGATATTCTAATGAATAATCATTTCACAATTGTCACCGTTTGGCTCTAAACACTGTCAGATTAATGCCCTGTTTGGCAATATCTGGCTGATAGAAGCTGTTCTGTTTACTATAGATATGTTGGTTAGGAATTCACACAACAATAATTACACAAATTCAATGCATTATGTAGATATTTAAATCTTGAAAGTATGATTTATTAATCACATTTCTTCATCTATTCTTCTTCACTCACGGTATTCAGAATGAGTATTACATATATCTGATATAAAGTTGAAATGCCAATATGATGAATATATTTCAGTCATATGCATTAACTTTACTTGTTCACATGTAAATGATTCACTCAGTCTGAGTTATTTAAATGATTTTACAAGTAATTCACTAATTTCCGTAAGAAAACCCAATACCCCTTTTTGGTAAAGCAGTACTGCATATGTAAAACCGTACAAAACCTTGAGCTCAAGTACGTAAACTGTGCCTCTTAGAAATATCTAAAAACTCAAATACTACGAGTTTTATCACAGAATAATTAATATGAATTAAATGTCCGCGACCGTTCTCAACCCTATGGAACGTTCTTACATTGTCTTCCTGTGCTCCAGATGTGTCTCATGTAGACAAACGCACGAACTTGAAGAACCCTGGCTGTTTGAGTATAGTCGCTGTTCCGAAGCTTGTCGTTTCTGACGTATTCGGCGTTGAAGTATGATGTAGCTCGTCTAGTAGACGAAAAGTCTCATCTCAGAGGTTAGAGAAGATCTGTTTTGGAAGATCTGTCCTTGAAGATCTCTTGTGGAGTTGAACCGTAATGAAACTGGAATGGAATCCGAATGGACCCGGAATGGGACCTAAACTGGAACCTCAAAGTGGAACCCAGCTGCCTGACTGCTGTTAAAACAATATATATACAGCCTACAAGTCACAACATAATGTTTATAATAATCTTTATAATTGCCTACACATGAATGCTTTTTACATGTGTAAGAGAATTTTAAAGTATCCAAAATTCATGAAAATAACACTCATCAGATATATACTGTACATCAAAATAGCCCCTGGATTTCATCATCAATATAAATGCAAACCATTTGTTGGCTGTTAAAGCTATATTCAAAGTATATCTTTATTTAAAGGTCAACAACTTCCTAAAATGTCTTCTATTCCTTTTACCAATTTTCCTAACTAAAAATAACCCAAATTGGTAAATTAAATCACCTTCTTTCCAAATCTATGAAAGAAAACTAACTATCTAGCCTATAGCATATTTTCACAATTGTAAAGGCACATTATTCTTTCTTCATAACACATTGACTATCTTTAACTGACTTGACTTCTTTCTGTCGAAAGGAAATAACGTTATACATGGCATAAATATAAGATACATTTTAAATGATTAATTCCAATGATTTCTTGGCAAAATGCAAACTTAGACAATTATCCCTAATGTAAATGACCTTCATTCATGTGCCACGCCCTAATTTATGATATTACATGATACAAGAAAATATGGGTTAATTTAGAGAATATTGCTAAAATATCACTTACTGGTGTCAGAGACATGATGTGGAGCTGTTGAGAAGTTTTCTCCTGGCCTGTGCTGCCCGAATTTAAGGGTAGATGCCAACCAAAGTAAGTAGCTACATGCTGCACATCTCAACTCCTCACACACCCACTCAGCATACAGGTCCTGTCTTGACCAATGCTTAAGTTGCTCTGCCCAGCCCAAACTATGCCTGAACAGCAGCACACATGCACACAGCACACAAGCACACATACATAGCTCTCCCATTGAGAAAAGGTACTGTAGCTAGGGATTCTATTGTGTTCTAGATGCCTATCTCCTAGTCTAAAAACCAGTCACTATCTTCTAGTCTTAAATTACCAGTCACTTTGTGACATTCTCCCCCTCCTTAAAGACATTAATTACATTTTAATTCCAATAAATGTCTAAAAGTAAATTTCCCGCACACTATCTAATATATATCTAAACTAAATACAAAATGAAAAAAAAACTAACAAATCACTCTGGGATTCTGCTTAGATAATCTGCTCCAATATTCTCGCTACTCTTAATGGCAGTGATGGTGAATCTGTACGGCTGTAGGGCCAATGCCCATCTCAAGATTCTCCCATTTGCACATTTTGATTTGGCAACGCATTTAAGCGGCTGGTGGTCAGTCTCAAGATGAAAGTGCTTTCCATACAAGTATGGTTCGTATTTCTGTATACCCCAAACAACTGCAAGACACTCGCGCTCCATCACTGCATAACGCCGTTCCCTCGGAAGCAGCTTTCTACTTGCGTATGCAACTGGGAACCTCTGCCCATCGACATCCTGAAGGAGTATTGCTCCAAGTCCCACGTCTGATGCGTCTGTCCTTAGGATGAAAGATTGACTCAGATCTGGAAGGTGGAGAATTGGTTCCTGTGCCAGCTTCTGCTTGAGTGCGTTAAATGCATTCTCCTCAGACGTACCCCACTTTACCTGTGTAGGTTCACCGTTTTTGGTTCTGTCTGTCAAAGGAGCTGCTAGTGCAGAGAAGTTAGGGATAAACCGCCGGTAATATCCTATGAGGCCAAGAAACGAGCGTAGCTGTTTCTTGGTTCTTGGTTGAGGCGCACTCTGGATCGCCTCCACTTTGTCTGGGACCGGTCGTAGTTCACCATGTCCTACTCGATGTCCGAGAAATTCTACATTCTCGCAACCGATGACACACTTCGTTGGCCTTACTTTCAGATTGGCCGTCTTTAGTCTCTCCAACACCCTCCTGAGAGTTTTCAAGTGTTCATCGAAGGTAGCTGTGTGGATAAGAATATCATCAATAAAATTATCAACATTGTCTAATCCACGCAACAAGCCACGCATGATTCGGCTAAAGCTCGCCGGAGCATTTACCAAACCAAAAGGCATAGCCTTAAACTGAAACAAACCATCTGGCGTCACAAAAGCTGTGAGTGGCTTTGCTTCTTCCGTTAGTGGCACTTGCCAGTAACCTTTTGTCAAGTCTATCTTGGTGAAAAATTGGTCATTGGCCAATTTACTGTAGATTTCCTCTGGGTCGGGGATTGGTTCAGCATCCGTCACTGTAACTTGGTTGAGTCTGCGGTAGTCGCAACAAAACCGTATTGCACCATCCTTCTTCTTAACCATGACCACCGGAGATGCATATGGTGAGGATGAAGGCTCCACTATGTCGAGATCAATCATCTTCCGAACTTCCTTCGTGACTTGCTCTCGTAGCGCATGTGGTAAAGGATAAGGTTTGCACTTGATGGGCTCCTTATCAGTCAGCCTTATGTCATGTTTCCCGAGGTTAGTCCATCCTGGTACATCAGTCATTGTCTCTTCAAACTCTTGAAGAAGGGTGCCAACTTTGTCGTGCTGATCTTGGGTCAAGTGTGGACTAATTTGTACATCTTCGATGCTCTC